TGTTTCATTTTAAACTTTTATCAAATTAACATACATAATCGTATATCAATTAAAACATGTTTAAAAAATACATTTTTATTTTAACAAATTACACCATTATAATCGTCTCGTTAATACCTTCGAAATGAGTTCAATATTGAATAGTTTTTTACTTAATTATATTATTATACATCATATATACTGTGAAAAAATATTTTTAATATTTACGATTTCTACTTTTATAGTTATTTATTTATATATATACTATATATTTTGGGATTAGGCTGTTCAAATTGCACTGTATATATAATATGTTTTGAATTAATATGTTCTTGGGTTTTTTTTGAAATATATATATACACATGTATTAATTCAACCTTAATCTGAGTTTCTGGACAAGAAAGAGGGTAAGCAKTTGAAATTTCATTCTAAAACCCATTTTTTTTATCTTTTCATGGCTTGTGATCTGTTAAATTTGTAGTTTTCTTTATTGATTTTGAGTGTTTATCTTAAAACTCAAGTTTCTTGGTTCTTTGCTCTTGATGTAAATCGAATACATTTGTGGAGTCGTTCTGTCATACAATTTTTTTTCATCGATAGTCTGTAATTGGAACCATAACTCTTATTTATTCAAATTGTATTAATATGTAATACATTTGTGGAGTCGTTCTGTCATACAATTTTTTTTCATCGATAGTCTGTAATTGGAACCATAACTCTTATTTATTCAAATTGTATTAATATGTAAAGACCAAGTGTAACCTATATTATCGTCAAATCTTATCTTATAAAACCAGTGGAACTTCAAAATCGTTAAAATTCATGGCTCCCGCCGCATTGCGCGGGTACACAACTAGTTTAATAATATATGCATTTCAATACGGATATTGTATTATTGTAAAACAATATTGTTTATTATATAGCGTTCATTTATCAGTATTAATCAATAATAATATCATTATTATTATCAGTAGAGTATAAAAACTAACATATTATATTAAACATGTATATATTAAAACCTAATTCTATCCAATTTTAATTCTTATATAACTCAACTCATTTTTTTTTAGAACACTACCAAACGTTTATGAAGATTCCATCATATATACTTATGCTAAACTAGTTAGTAATCATCTCTAAAATCATTATATATCCAAATATTTTAATACAAATAATTACAAAATCAACCACTCCTTGTTTCTAAGGAAGGAACCAAGGGAAGCAACAACCAACTCACACTTACTTTTTTTTTCTCTAGAAAATGGTCCACAAGTGAATGGAACCTTCATGCATATATGGTAACCAGCCTGTGTTAACTTCTCTTCTTAATTCTTCTTTCAATTCACTTCATCCTCTATATATATCCAACCCGACTTCATCAAGTTCTCAACCTAATTTCTTAACTACCTCAATTAATTCCATCCATCTCTTTGATCATCTCTAACTTTAGTCACAAATGGAGGTTTCACTGCACAACAACCACCACAAATGCTTATCCAAGATAGCAACCAACGACGGCCATGGTGAAAACTCGCCCTACTTTGATGGCTGGAAAGCTTACGACGCAGATCCTTACCATGCTGAAAGCAACCCCACCGGCGTTATCCAAATGGGTCTTGCCGAAAATCAGCTTTGCTTTGATTTGGTTGAAGAATGGGTCCAGAAGCACCCTGAAGCTTCCATATGCACACCTCAAGGAGGTTTTGGTTTCAAGGAGATAGCCATTTTTCAAGATTATCATGGCTTGCCCAGTTTCAGAAGGGCGATTGCTAATTTCATGAGTCAGGTTAGAGGAGGCCGTGTAAGGTTCGACCCTGATCGGATTGTGATGAGCGGTGGAGCCACCGGAGCTCATGAGACCATGGCTTTTTGCTTGGCTAACCCTGGTGAAGCTTTTTTGGTGCCCACCCCTTATTATCCAGGGTATGTATATACTCATTTCACCCTTTATTAATTATCTTCATCTAGTTTGTTTATCAACTAATTAACCTTTATAGTAATTGATCAAAGTACATAAAAATATGTGGTAATCAACAATTTCAGACATTTCTAATTGGTTATTGTGAGACAAAGAAACTAGAATAATTAAGTTGGATTAAAATCATGTACCCTATATAATTCATTTTGGTGTTTCTTTTTTCTGTATCTTAACAAATAAAAAGGTTAATATACAGTGAAACAACAAATACAAAGGCTAGAAAACGTATTTCATAACAGTTCAAAGATATGATATCTAAAATTTATATATTTATGAAATAAACATTTAATTTACTCATTTGTACGTATACATGATAACATAATTAAATATGTAAATTGTAAAACACGATTTATATATATAAATCATATAGTAAACTTTATACAGGATTTAGACGACCCCCAGAACTTGATATCGATTACTATCCCATAACGCAAACATCTATTTTTCTAATTTAGAAGTAAATTCATATTTTAAATTTTGGGTCAAGACTATTCTATATTTTTTCTTAGTTTGACATGTCAAATTCTTGACTATTATCTTTTTTATATATATAATTTAATGTTATTATAATAAAATAACTAAAAGAAAATCTTTTTTTTAACGTTTGTAATTGAAGGACAAGTCAACTTCAACCTTTCTGAGAGTTATTTTGAT